GAACATCTCTCAGAAGCTTCTACCCACCTACAGAGGACCTTGGCAGGTTCTAGACGTAATTGGAGATGTGGATGGTCCTTCATACGTCATTGAAATTCCTCCTCATCTACGTACATATCCAGTGTTTCATGCRTCYAAGCTCTTACCTTGTGTAACGAATGAGCTCTTCCCAAGTCGCCGACCAGCRATCCCTCCAAGTAYGGATRGGAAGTATGATGTGGATAAGATTGTTGCAGAAAGTACTTACCACACTGGACGTAGGGGCAGACCACAACGACAGTATAAGGTGAGATTTGCATACCAGGATCCTAGTGAAGATCGCTGGTTCACAAAAGAAGAACTGTTAGAATCTGCACCTCATATTGTGTCTGCATACGAAAATGCAAAGAGAGGAATTCATATCCTTGATAGGTAAATGATTCTCAGAGAACTTCGAATTTAGGCCGGCGAGAGTAAAAGGGCCTTTACCCGATATAGGCCTCAGGCCTTGTAAAAATAAAGCAGCACGGGCCTTGAAAAAGTAAAGCATTGTGAAAAGGTATCTCGTCAGAGCTCAGAAACGTGAAAGCAGGTCAAAGGTCAAGTTCTCTATCAACAGGCATATTTAAAATTAAGGTAAAGGGCATTGTCAAAATACTTACCTATTCACCAGGAGATGTGTATGTCATGTCTGTTTGGGTAAGGGTGTGTCTGTACGTGCAGGCAGTGTGTCTGTTCGTGCCAAATAAAGTGTATGTTCAAGCAGTAAATGTGTCTGTTCGTTGAGAGTTGTGCCTGTCCGAAAGTAAAGTCAATAGGCACAGTCCCAGTTCTGGTCTAAGTCCAGGGGTCAGTCCAGATCCAGACTTTCAAGTCCAAATTCAGGCCGGGAGGCCTCAGCAGCAGTTGAACTTCATTTGGGACTCTACTGGGACACATGCAATGCAGGGTCTGGGACAAAAGGAAGGCYGGATTGAGCCAATACAGACCYAGCGAGGAGTATAAARGAGGCAGCCAGCCTCATTCCTACCCAGATCTCCACTRRCATTCTATGCGTGGAAGTGCYGGTGCACTTGTGCGTTGAGCCAGTAGGAGCAGCGCTGGAAGGAGAAGATGCGCTGAGTGAAGGGAGAAGCCTGTATGCTGGAAGTGATGCAGCCATAGCTGCCCAGCAAGTTAGCATTAGTAGTAGAGGGTTAGTATGTAGCTATGAGTARTATCCAGAGTAGATCCTCATGAGTATTGAAGAGTGTATATGCATCATAAGAGGAAGGGATTGAGGCTGAGAGTGTTCATTCAAGGTTGGCTATGGAAGATACTTACCTGAGTTGGACGTGATCTGCAGAGGTGGCATTGATGAGTGGTGACCACATTGATGACTTGGAGATTATCTGCAGGGGTAGCACTGATTCACTGGAAGGCATATTGATGAGTTGGCAAGATATTGGTGTTGCGCTGATGAGCGCTGGACTCAGGGAAACTTTGAAACACTTTGTATTCATATTTTTGATAATATAAGCTGTGAAACTCGGTTCTCATCTTCTCTACCTTTGTCTATTATCAGACTACTGTTCGTTGTGTGTGGGAGAACAATGCATGGCATGTACACACTTGCGTGAGATGGTCTCCAGGACCCATGCATCCCATAGTCCTTCCCGTTAGGCAACACAAGCAATCTTTCCGGTCGGGTTCAGCCGAAATGAAGGCCCGTCGTGCACACGGGGGAAGACGGGATTGCCGCGGGGAGGAGGAGGGCACGCGCGCCTTGGAGGGCGGCGGGGGAGAAAGAAAATAGGGGAGGGAGAGAGAGAGAGAGAGAGAGAGAGAGAGAGAGAGAGAGAGAGAGAGAGAGATGGCGGCGAATTGGCACTGAAGTCACGGGATATTTTTCTCTTTTTTTGCTCACGGGTACGTCCACCGGCCAATGGGAACGTTGGCTGCCGGTCCCAAAGATTGGGAACGTGGGTTTTCCCCCACCCACCCAACGTCTCCAATAACGTGGACCGGCCGGGTACCGGGAAGGAACCAGTCCACACTGTGACGAAACTGCCTAACCAAACACGGACCATGCCCCAAGCGCCGGTCTAAGTAATAGTCGCCTATTCTAATCGTGGGCCGTGGTAGACCTGCCTATAGGTTTTTTTTTTGCCTATTACAAACTGTACCCGTGACTACGGAGCCGTTGGCCCTTTTTATTTTTAATTTGACTTGGTTTCGGATTTATAACAAATGGAAAACGAAAATCGGTTAAAAATGTTATTAATAAAATAAATAAAAGAAAAGCAGGATTTTTTTTTTTTTTTCCACTTTTTTGGTGACTGATATTGACTTAGTTCCCTTAAAGTTTTGCCAAGCTAATTGCTTTTTTTTCCTTCTTTTTCTTCTTCTTTTTCTTATGTGCTTTTTCTTCTTCTTCTTCTTCTTCTTCTTCTTCTTCTTCGGGCAATTCAGCGGCGGTGGTCACACAGAGACACAGTAAGAGAGAGAGAGAGAGAGAGAGAGAGAGAGAGAGAGAGAGAGAGAGAGAGAGAGAAAGAGAGAGAGAGATGAACCTGGCCCGAGCACCCGGATCAGACCTGATCCGAAACGGTCACCCTTCAAAAAAAAAAGTAGAAGCTCTACATTAATCCGCAATTTCCTC